GGACAATCCCACCAACCTCGCCTTTTCCACAGCATTAAAGTCTGCAGTATGGAAAGCTTCTAAAGAAGTCGCTTTGTAATTAAGCAATGCGCTTAATGAAATGGAAAACAAACTGATCCTTGGAACAGAACAAAGAGTTCAGAAATGAAACTACATATTAAAAAAAAAAAAAACCAAAAACCTTGAGAACATATCTTGTGACAAAAGAAAACTTAGCACAATGAAATCAAGTTTTTGGGGTAGGTTAGCTCTTTAAAAAGAACACCAAAAGCAAAAGCAGTAACAGACAAGAATGATGATTTTGGTTTTATATTTTAAAATTTCTTTACAAGAAAAGACACTCTGGAGAGTTCTAAAATAAGCAACAGATTGTGAAAAAAATTTACAGTCCACCAAAAGACAAAAGATTAATATTAATTAATATTCAATAAACTTTCAAGTCAATAAGAAAACAAGTTACCTAACAAATCAATGGACAAAAGATGAAACAGGCAAGTCTACAAAAGAAAATGTGAAAAAGGACCATTACATCTATGAAATGATGCCCAAGCTCGATCATCAAAAATAAGAAGAAAATCCAGCAACAACTGGAAAATTGCACGCTTCCACCACTGGCAAAGCTGGACACCAACACTGCTATTCTTGGGGGAACAATAAGGAGGTTCATATTCAAAATGAAAATGTATATTCTCCGTTACTCAAGAACTCTTCTAGAGAAATGCCTGCCTAAAGTACTCAAGGAAGCTTATACAAGAACATTCTGTAGGTTGATGCTTATGATGATGAAAAATCGAGACAATCTAAAGTTCCATTCACAGGGAATGGGTAAATAGAGATATTTTCACAGCCTGGCACACTCTGAAGCCGTTGAAAGGGGTGAGCCAGATGGAACCTGAGACCTATTCCTGAGAAAACACATAGTTGAAGAGCGACATGGGGAGAAATTCCTTTTATGTAACACCTCACAGTTTCCATGAATGTGTGCTTATCTAAAGACTGAAAAAGAGAAGCTGGAAGTTGTCAAGGACTTCCTAGTATTATTTGTAATATTTATTGAATGTGAGAGGCAGGGGGTGGGAGGGAGATCCCGTCGCTAGTTCACTCACCAAATGCCCAAAACAGCCAGGGCTGGGCTAGATCAAATCTTGGAACTGGGAATTCAATCCAGGTCTCCCAAGTGGGTGTCAGGGACCTAGCTACTCCCGCCAAAACCTGCTGCCTCATAGGGTGTGTATTTGTGGAAGCTGGAATGGGGAGTGGATCTGGGATTCAAACCCAGGCACTCTGATATGGCATGTAGGAGTCCCAGCTGCTAGGACAAACGCCTGCCCCATGCTTGTAATATTGAAATTGCTAAGAATGTGTTCCAGGTATTGATTATATACACAGAAAACCAAGAGTACAAAAAGTTATCTTAAGTCGCTGAGTTCAGTTCAGGGCAACCTTCAAGTGCTATTCACCTCCCTGATGTAAAACAGGACTGTGCTTGCTTTGAGCAGTTAGGCAGGCACTGGCTTCAGGTGGATTTTCTTCTTCTCACCTCCATCTCCCCATTCCTTAGTTTTTGTCTTCAATCAATGTATCTATTAATGAAATCTGGTTTCTACTAATTGATTGTTTTTAACCATTATTGTGATAAGCTTGAGACTCCTTCAGTTATTCCTGGAAGATAATTCTATTCCATTGTGCAGGGTACACCTTGCTCTGTCTTCTTGTCATTAGGCAACCGTAATGCTTCACCATCTCAAACTCACCGTTCTCCTCATTGTTTTTAGCTTCTCTGCTTTTGCTTCTTGGTAGTTAGCAGGTGTAGGGTGTGTGTGTCTGTCCGTTTTAACTGTTGCTCTCCAGCCCACTGTACGATGGAGGCTACACTATGCTTGAGCTATTGAACAATGACTGAGAGAAGGGGCCAGGAGGAGATTGTTCGAAACATCAAGGAGCCAAGTGCAGAGACTCCAGCCCAGCGACAAAAGCAAGCCTGAGCTGTCTCCTTTTCGTTTCAGAGCCGTCTTTATGTCTCAGTTAGCTCATGCCAGCAGTGAATATGTTGATACATACATTGTGTATGTGTGTATGTGAGGAGTCGTCACAAAGATCATGAGAAAATGGAATTAAAATATAAAATTTATTTTGGCATAAAAATTTCAAAATCCATGTTTTTTTCCATAATATGCATTTTCCATGAACATTCTGAGGACCCCTCACACACACAGATATTATGTGAAAATACATATTTGTAAGTATTGATATATTTAAAATATATGCAGCAAATATTACATAGCAGGGTGTATAAAAAGACAGGCAGGCATTAGCAGCTGGTTTTAGATTTCAGATATGCTATAGCATGGACTGAAGGAAGAGGAAGTTGTGACAGTGGATGGGAACTGTCCCTTTTGAAAATGTATCTGGGGCCGGTGCTATGGTGTGTAAGGCTAGACCTCTGCTTGTGATGCCTGCATCCCATATGGGCGCTGGTCCAAGACCCTGCTGCTCCTCTGCTGATCCAGCTCTCTGCTATGGCCTGGGAAAGCAGTAGAAGAGGGCCCAAGTGCTTGGGCCCCTGCACTTGCATGGCAGAACTGGAAGAAGTCCTGGCCCTTGGCTTTGGATCTGCCCAGCTCTGGCCATTGTGGCCATTTAGGCAGTGAAGCAGTAGATGGAGGACCTCTCTCTGTATGTCTCTCCCTCTCCTTTGTCTCTCCCTCTCTCTGTCTATAAATCTACCTCTCAAAAAATAAAATCTTTTAAAAAAAGTATCTAATTTTTTACAAAATTTATTTAAGTTTAATTGAAAGGCAGAGAGACAGAGAAAGAGATTGATTGATTCCATTCATTGATTTACTCTCCAAATGCATGCTACAGCCAGGGATTGGCCAGGTTGAAGCCAGGAGCCAGCAGTTCAATCCAGGTCCCTTATAGAGGTGACAGGGTCCCAGGTATGTGGGCCGCCACTGTTGCCTCTCAAGTGCACATTAACAGGAAGCTCGAATGGAGAGCTGAACAAGGACTCGAACTCCAGCATCCATTATGGGATGCGGGCCTCTTAACCACGCGCCAAATGCCTGCCCCAGAGTGTCTGTTCATGGCCCCTGCTCTGTTGAGCCTGCTCTCTTGGAAGAAGCTGGTTTAAGAGCAGGAGGGGTCGTCTTCTCCGAAAATCACTGTGTGTGAGACGGAACCAGGGACTTTTCCAGAGTTTACCACATATCATCTGCAAGGTGTTGCAATGCCTGCACTTAGAAAGACTGTGACTACTCCATTGTCTCCACCAGCCGGGGGCCTCCCAGGGCGCGGGGAAATGGGGAACCTGGCTTTGCTGGGGGATGTTGGTTCAGCTGAGGGCTGGATGGAGTTTGAAGTCTGCAAATGGAATTCAGCTGCAGGCAATGAATACTGACTTTGCCACTTTTCTACATAAGACCCGTATTTTTTTTTTTTTTTTTTTTTTGGAGAGGGTGAGTGCTGGGGTTGGAGGTGGTGGTGGGCATGATTGGCAACTTGCCCAACATCTTGAGGTTCACAATCTGCTGACACAAACGGCAGCCACTCAAGTTCCCTGCTTTCGCACATGGGCAGTGAGTGATCGGAGTGCATTCTCGTCTCTGTTGCTCATTTTCAAAGCAGAAGTTAAAGTGGTGCAAGCATCTCTCCTCTGGGGATTGCCCTCAAGGCACTGAGGATTCAGGGAGTGGAGGCAGCGTGTGACCCCCAGAGGAGGAGGCGCCCAACCTCAGGCCAGGCTGCAACAGTGGGGTGGGGGGAGGGGGAGGGGGCTTTTTGGTGTGGTGGTAAAAGTCTTCAGGAGGGGCCCTTTAGTCTGAAGCTCGAGGCCCCTGTGGGGAGGGGCAGCCATGAGAAAGCCATTAGGGTGCTTATCCCCTCCCCTTGTGTTTGCTATGGCCAGCAGGCCTCCTTGGAAATAGTGTCATATGGTATCTTTCGTATGGGCACTTTTAATGTTGTCAGGTTTTCTTAATATTATCAGACGTTCTTAGTGACATGCAGCCAAACCAAATGTATATCCATTAAAAATTCCATTAAAAAACTGGTATTCAAATAGGTTTTAATAAGCTTGCTAAAGCAAACAGGCTGGCTAATGAAAATCAGTACTGCTTTTTAAAAAAGCCGAGGAGTATAACATGACCCCAGCTACTAGGAAGCAGCCCTCTCACTGTCTGATTCTGTCCTCCTTAAGAACTTGGCTCGAGTCGAATTGGAGCAGAGGTTTAGCCTAGCAGTTAAGACACCCATGTCCCATGTTTGGGAGCCAGGGTTTGACTCCCTGCTCTGGCTCCTGACTCCAGCTCCCTGCTAACACAGAGCCTGGGAGGTAGCAGATGTTGGCTCCAGTAATTGGGTTCTTACTACACATGTGGGAGACCTGGATCGAGTTCCTGGCTCTGGCTCTGACCCTGGAGCAGTCCCAGGTGTTGTGGGTATTTGGGGAGTGAACCAAATGAGCAGATGGCTGCTTTCTCTCTCTGCCTCTCAAATAAAAAAGAGCATTGGACTATCTTTTTGAGCGCCTTCCACAATGGTGTCTGCAATACACAGGAAAAAGCAAGTGCCATCTCTGTGTTAACATGAGCTTCGGAGCAAGTGCACTGGGATTAGGATTGCTGTCATCTTTCACTTAGAGCATGTCTGGAGCCATTGCTTGCCAGCTAAGCCTCTGGGACTTGAGAAGACAGGAGAGAGCAATATTGATTTCTCAATGTCCAGAGGGAAATTACAAAATTTCAGTCGTGTGATAAATGCTTAAGTACTTAATGCAATAAAGGCCTTCCCTGTTAGACGCTGCGCACACCCACGGCAGAGATACACTTCGGCCTGAGGACTGGCCTGCGGACACAGGCTTCCCTTTCAGAGTAGGAACACAGACACGCACTGCATCCCCTCCTTGGACCCTGGCAGAGGGGTCGCTGTGATTGGGAAAAGCCTTTCCCACCACTTCCCGTGCCAGAAGCCGCCCTCTGCTCCAGCCAGCGCGGACTCACCTCATTGTCCTGATGGTTGATCTCGCTGAGGCTTGACTGCTGCAACAGGACCGTGAGGAGCCTGGAAGGAACAGTCACATAAGTATTTGAAATATGGTCAGGTGAAGGCCTCCGGGTGAAGATGCGGGCCCTTCCCACTGATCGGAAAGTGATCCTTGGAAAATGAGCTGATGCGATAGAGATGGCATCTGTGGTGGATACGCCTTCCTACCCCACTACCTTGCCATCCTAGGGCTCCTGGAGGGGTTGAGGGGAAGTGGGGGAGGAACCTGGAACTCCATCCAGGTCTCCCATGTGGGTAGGAGGGACTCAAGCCCTTGGGCCATCCTCCGCTGCTTTCCCAGGCTCATTAGCAGGGGGCTGGATTGGAAGTGGAGCAGCCAGGACTTGGCAATGTCAGCCCTTGTCATATCTTTTAAATAGATGGATTATACAAGGAGGCAGTCAGCATTTACAACTGCTTATTCTTTACAAAATATACAAATATCTAAGCATAAGGGGTGGGTGTTGTGGCACTGGAGGTTAGGCTGCTGCGTCCCAAGTGCCAGTTCGAGTCCTGGTACATCCACTTCCAATCCAGATTCCTGTCGGTGCATTCTGGGTGGCAGTAGATGAAAAGTCAAGTGCTTGGGCCCCTATTACCCTCGTGGGAGATCCAGATGGAATTTCTAGCTCCTGGCTTTGGCCTGGTTCGGCCCTGGCTGTTGTGGGTATTTGCAGGGAGTGAATCCAGACTGTATACTCCAAGTCTCTAGTTCAGTAGCAGGAGCCCAGCTTCCAGGGTTTAAACACTCTGTTCAGGGGCCCAGTGCTGTGAGGCAGCAGGGGAAGTTGCTGCTTGCAGTGCTGCGTCTCGTATCAGAGTATCCGTCTGAATGCCGGCTATTCAGCTTTCTATCCAGTTCCCTGCTAGTGCACCTGGGAAAGCCGTGGAAGGCAGTCCAAGTACTTGAGCCCCTGGTACCCATGTGGATAGAGTTCTAGGCTCCTGGCTTTGATCTAGGCCAGCTGAGGCCATTGCAATCATTTGGGAAGTGAACCAGCATATAGAAGATTTCTCTCTCTTGTCTCTGCCTCTCTCTAACTCAGAGAGTTGCAGAGTTAATACGTAAATCTTAAGAAAAATTTTCATTCATTATCTCTCAACATAGATGACATCTAAGGCCCTAAATAGTCAGTGGCTGCTGAGCTGACAGTAGAGAATAGATCAATGTGCTGCCTGGGTAGGAGGTGGGACCCAGGGAGGCCTACAGAGGGGAAGGACTTCTGTGGGGGTGAGGCAACCAGCCAGCCCCGGGGTTGACATCCAGCCTTGCACAGTCTTCTGGGGTTTACCTCTGATCTTGACCACTGTCTTTTCTGGGGAGCCAGGATAATGCCGAGATTTAATTCTACCATCTCATGGTAGCCCCCAAGCTTCTGAAGCCTTGAGGATCTACTAGGGGCAAGAACGGCGGTGGTGTTGGGGATCGGATGACACAGCAGGTGGAGAGCTCTCTGCATAGGGTCTAAAGGAACAGTGGCTGTGACCCTGAGCCGCACGCCTCCTTTGTGCTCTCGGGATTCTAGAACCATCCTCAGTCTGCTAGGAAGATGCAAGAAAAATAATTACCAGTGGGCAACACTGTTTGTCTTTGTGATTATATGTCACCACTGGATGGAGCTTTCCTTATGACTGCTCTGTGGAGGGGTAGGCTTCGCTGTGCCTGGTCTCTTTTCTTTTCCCTGTCTTCCTTCTCCTCCCCACATCCTGCCCTCCTTATTGGCCATTGTCTAATCTCTGGGGTCCATTGGTCTGAAGTGCCGGAAGACAGTGGGAGGGGAAGGTTGAGGTCAGTGGTCCAGTGTGGTTATCCTTGGTTAACCCTGAGCAGAGTTCATCTGTAGCCAGACTGGATCTTTGAGGGAAGGGGGCTCTGTCCAGACAGATTAGGGAAGGGGAGCAAGACCTCTTGTTACATCTCAGTGGGATGCCAAAGGTCACAGGAGGAACTTGCACCTGGATATTTCTGTTTGCTCTCAAACCCAAACCCTTCTCTGCAGTGTCTTGATCATAGTCTGATTTCAAAGGACAGGGTCACCAGGCTCCTTTGGCCCTGACTCCCCGTTGGGTTTGGCGCTGGGAGGACTGGCAGGAAGAGAAGGGAAGCCAGCCTCTTTCTGGCCAGGATTGCCTTCCTCTCCCAAGGCCTGGGCTCCTGCCAGGCGGCCCCTTTCCTGCGGCTCCAGCGGCCACCCCGGCTCTAGGAGGCTCGGGGGACCTGCCCTTCCTGGCCTTTCCGCCTTGGGTGTGGTAACGCTTCCCAGCTCTTTTGGAGGAGGTGGGATGGGAGGTAGATCGCGTCTCTTGCAGGTTAACTTTCCTTTCACTGTTGCTCCCTTTTAACATCCCGTGTTTTCCCCGTCGTGGCCGTGATCAATTCATGCCAATCTATGTTGCCTGACTTCACTGATTGCTAAGTCTGTAAGACTAAGACTCACTGAGCTCCAGAGCTGGACACATATTAACAGATAAAGGCTCTCTCTCTCTCTCTCTCTCTCTCTCAGGCCCTGCATTGTTTGCTGAAGCTGCGGTGACGCAGCCTGAAAGCAGGTGTCTGGTTTCCAGCCCTGGGCTCCCGAGGGCTCCATGGCCCACAGGTGGTCCACAGGTAAGCCTCATTTCCAGGCGACCTGCAACCCTCTTTGGTTCCTTTTCTAAGGGCTCTGGTCTTGTGCTATGGTGGTCCCAACCCCTTGCCAACCCCTGTCCTAGGTCCTCCCTATTCTCATTTCTCCGAGGCAGTAGCTGGAGGCCCACTTCATCCCAGATCCAAGGGCAGCAGGCCATGGTCCCCAGCAGGAGCCTTCACAGGAAGTGTGTGAGTGACAAGAGTCAGAGGTGGCCGGTGCCGCAGCTCACTAGACTAATCCTCCACCTAGCGGCGCCGGCAACCGGGTTCTAGTCCCGATCGGGGCGCCGGATTCTGTCCCAGTTGCCCCTCTTCCAGGCCAGCTCTCTGCTATGGCCCGGGAGTGCAGTGGAGGATGGCCCAAGTGCTTGGGCCCTGCACCCCATGGGAGACCAGGAGAAGCACCTGGCTCCTGCCTTCGGATCAGCGCGGTGCGCCGGCCGCAGCGCGCCAGCCATGGCGGCCATTGGAGGGTGAACCAACGGCAAAGGAAGACCTTTCTCTCTGTCTCTCTCTCTCACTATCCACTCTGCCTGTCAAAAAAAAAAAAAAAAAGAGTCAGAGGTGGGGCCAAACTGCCTATGCTACAATACCACCAACCCCCAACCACCAATAACCCTGGACACACAATGGAACACCTGTGCCTACAGGCTCATAAAATAGTAATAAAATCTACTTCCTAAAGATCTTTTGGGACTTTAAATGAGTCAACATATACAAAGCACAATAGCCCTTCTGCGCCATTACAAGTTCTGTATAACACTTATTTTTGAAAAAAAAAAAAAAAAAGGCTACCTTATATTTTTTGGGAGTCCTCTGATCACCATTAGGTAACAGAGGTGTGTGTGTGTGTGTGTGTGTATGTGTGAGAGAGAGAGAGAGAGAGAGAGAGAGAGGGAGGGAGAGAAGCTATCTTAGAACCAACCTATTTCTGTGAGCTTTTCTGTCTTGCTGGGCCCACGGGCTGCTCCTAGCCCTGGTCAGCTCAGCGATGGCTGGGAAAAATGATCCCCAAGCCAGCTCTCTTTCCCATTCCTGAAGCTGCCTGGGTGTGAGTGTTCCATAGTGAAACACCAGCGGCCGCAGGTTAGAACACATCACTCGCTAACTAGAGAACGGGCCCCCAGGGCAATGGTTTCCTTCCTCCCTCTGGGTAGTCAAGAGTGATGAAAAGCACTAGGGTGCTGGTGCTCTGATGGGGGGGTGGGGGGACTCTCTTGGTAACCATGGAGACCATGAAAAAGACCTGCACAGAGCCCCTTGGCTGCTTTCAGAGGAAACTGCTGCTTGCCTTCCAACATGAGCATGTGCTGCGTTGCACACACACAACTCTCTCCTCTTTGGAGCTTTGTCTTAGTGACCATGCCCCCCCTTTCACAGGGCACCCCTCTGAAGGTCCCCACTTCGGGAGCGAGAAAAGCCCTGGGGAGCGGGAAGGGCGAGAACCTGGAGAAGCAGAGGGTTCAAGGCAGGGAGGGGTCTCCTGAGATGAAACCTGTGCCCCTCTGCTTTTGTCAACCCAACATGCCTCCATGTCCAGAATTACCAACACTTACCCCTGCCTCTGCTTCCAGCCCTGCTGAGTAGGGCTTGAGCCAAGGATGGAGCTGGGGCTTGATCGGTTTCCTAGGGAGCTGAAACCATCAGAGAACCCAGATTCCCCCTGGAGAAAAAGGGCTAACTGGGGTGTCCTCCTGGCTTGTGTATAAGCAGCTTCGGTTCGAGGCTTCCGGCTTAATAGCCTCTAGCAAGCACCACTCGGAAGGAGCTTGCTGTCTGGAACTCTGAGGAGCAGCAGGTTTTCAAATCATATGAATATCTGGGCACAAGGTCACGACATGGGCTGCAGATACTGTTTATAATTAGGAGGAAAATATAGGTGTATCTGCACCGGTGAAGGCAGTGGCCAGGGAGGTGGCTGAATTGATTGCAGTCTGGGTCCTGGGGTCCACACAATAGGAGGGCCATTCATTCCCTGATGTCCTTGGCAGTAAGCATACATGACCGTGGGCTGCGTCTACACAGACTCGTGAGCGTACACGTAGTCTTTGTGGACCAGTGTGTGTCCAGGAGAAGTGGGCCAGGGTGGGAGCTGGGGTGGCCGTAGCAGGGTTTCATTCTTTAGCACTGATCTACAGCTTATATTTCTATCAGTCTTCCATTGTGATCATTATCATGAATATCACGCTCACCATCGGCACCGGCACCTACTGAACAGACAACGTACGAGGTGTTGTGCGCTCTGTGTGTTCCATACATTTTCCTGTTCACTTCTGCTGCCTTACCTGTGCCTGCTAGTGGGGGACTGGATCCAGGAACCCCTGTGGGGACTCAGCTCCACAGATGCTCACGTCTCTTTTATAAAATGGCATTGTATTTGCACGGAATCTACACACATCCTCCCTTAGAACTTTAAATCATCTCCCAATTACTGATAGTACCTAACACAGTGTAAATGTGACATAAATAGTTGTGATTCTGTATTGATTAGGGGATAATGACAAGAAAAACATCTGTACATGTTCAATATGGATGTAATTGAAAATGTTCCTGACCCTTGGTGTGGTGAGTGTGCAGATGCAGAACCTGTGGCTGTGTAAAGCCCTCTTCTCTGTATTCCTCCACTTTCTAGAAGACAAACGGCCAGCCGACTCATGGCATGCCAACTTGCCCAAGATCATTCCCTCCAGATTCAAACTCGGGCTGACTCTGGTCTGCCCTTTGGCTCCACCTGGCAAGGATTCTAGGTGGTTTTGGCTACAGGGAGTCAAACAAGGTAACAAATGAAGAAGCTAGACAAAGAGAAAACAAGGGCTGGGTAAAGAGAGTGTCATCTAGTGTTTTATAAGTATGCCAAGGGCGGCATGGAAATTGAGTTCTAATTATCTAAATATGTGAAGAAAGACATATGATCAGAAGCCCCAGTGTAGACATGTTAAAAATTAAAAAAAAAAAATTTCTCAAGAGAAGCACAGCAATTCCTCCTTTGACAGAAATTTTTCTTGTGGTTTCACATATAGGAGTTTTTGGTTGCTGTGATAAGCAAAATGTATCCTGACCATGAGCCGATAGGTTTTGGAAGGCTGTTTCTTAGAAGGCCTCTCAAGATGAGTCAAGGACTTGATGACAAAATAGGGCCATAACACACAGTCGTGGGTCTCAGAAGCACTGCAGATCCACCGGGTAGCTTAACTTCTCATGTGCGGTGAGCATTAAATGGCTCTCCCAAGCCTCAGTTTCCGCATCTGTGAAATGAGGCTGGAAATGTTACCTGCTACATGGAGATGTGGTAAGGAGTAGATGCGCTGGGACAGGCAGAGCACTTGGAACGTGGCCCGGAGCATGGCAGCTTAGCACTGTTGTGATCACCTTCTCCATCCTCACCAGAGGGCACATGCAGGCCCACACGTGGCCAGCCACACTGGCCTACGGTGATGTCCACTTAGGCAAACTGAGTGGTCAAATGGATTCATATGGCCCTAATAGGAGGTCACTGTCTTTCCCTGTTATGGTTGTAGGTTTAGGAAGTGCCCAGCAAACAGATCAAGTTTTTGTTTTTCTCGGAAAAGTAATCTGGGTTCATGCTGACACACAAACAAAAAGGAGACTGAAGCCGACTTCTCTGTGGTGAAAAATCTGTTATCAAACAATTGTATGCCATGGCCATAAAATTTCTCCATAAAACAGCCATAAAATACTTAATTTTTAATGATGTAAGTCCATAGGGATTCCTTTAGGGCAAAGTAGATTCCAACTGTTTGGTAGGTATCCAAACTAAACAATTTGCCATATGGTTTGCTGGGGTTTAACGCAATTATGTTTTGGAGAACATTTACTAGAAATAATGATTTGCTTTTGGAATAATCTTAACCCTTGGGTTTTATTACTTAAATAACTAGCATTACCATAACTAAAGCAGAATGTTATCTTTCCCAATCAGCTAAGTGCCCACTTAGGACAATAAAACTATATCATCAGCTCACCCAAGGGTAGTGGCTGGGTAATTAACTACAATTTCAAAAGAAAAACCACAACTTTGTGCCTTTCCAGTTACTGCAATGACACGTAGATCCTGGGAAGTCCAGGCCCACTGCTGGGCTTTGATAAAAGACATACAAGTCCACACAAGAAGATGCACAGTTGGGTTGACTTTCGGTTGATTATTGAAGTGACTTCAGAGGATGGCCCTGATGGGTCAGGAATGTGATTTCTGCTAAGAAGGTTTGGTTTACCCCTCATGGGCAACGGGTTGATGGCAGAGACAGCTAAGCTTCTCACCAATATCCGTGTACCTTTTCTGTGGGTTGGAGTCCCTGCTGATGGGTAGATTCTGGGTTAGGAAGTATATTCCCCAGAGTACCTGGACTCAGACATAGTCAAATGACTGGTCATCATGGATGGAATGTGAGCAGAATGAACGGTGTCCCTCGCAAGCTGAGGACTTAAAGAAATGAGTGAGGCTTCCCTATATTCTTCTGTCCCCATCTATAGGCTGAACGAAGGGCATTCTGTGATCCGGGGACTGATGGAGACACAAAATGGAAGCAGCTTGAGTCCCTGAGTCACCCGTGCAGGGGCGTCATCCACCACCAGGATCACCTACACTGGCAGCTTACATGGCAGAGAAATAAATTTCTGTTGTGTTAAGTCACTGAAGCTTTGAGTTCTGTTTGTTATAACGGCTGTAATTACCATCACTTGAGTAGGCTTTTATCTTTCAGAATCCTTAGAAGATTTTAAAATGACCTCTCCAAAATGAGGCAGGTAAAAGCAATTAGGTAGAAGAAATCAAGGCAGAATCGTCTTAAAAGCTACATTTTAAATTCGCTTTCTAAAGCTCAGCCCTGGGAAAACAGTACGATTTTATGACTAAATATTTCAGTGGTTGTCTAGAAAAGCCATTCTTTTTTTATCCCCCTAATTCTTCAGAAGGGCAGAGGGGAGTTCGATGTCTATTGACTGTTAGCTGTCTGGGCTTGCTGTTGCTTCTCTAAACTTCCTTGTTTTGTTGGGCTTTGGGTATGTTCTCGTTTTCTGTTAGTTCTGGATCCAGTCCAAGATAAGAAGAAACTAGCCTTGGGAATAGTCCTGGAATTTCCCAAGGCCATTGACTTTCCTGTAAAAGAGACTGCAATGAGGAGATGTTGTTATCCCCCACCCTGGAAGATAACGGCCTTGCTTCCTCAGCCCCCACGGAGCTCTAGGCTCTGGGTCTGGACAGAGCTGCAGAGGGTGAGGCACAGTGCAGGTAGGTACACCCTGTGCTGCTGGCCTGGGCAAGGCTGACGTCCTGCACAGCGGAGGCTAAGGAGGGCCCCCCGCAGTGCCGGGTCCATGGCAGGAAGTGCTGGTATCTGTTGGTGGTGCATGGAAGAGGGCGGGTGCTTTCACAAGAATGGAGACCAAGGCCATCTGGAGCAGAGGAATGAGGAAGTCAGTCTTAGTCTGGGCAGAGCGTTTCTCCTTGTTGCTCAACTGCATTACAGAAACGTGATCGTGGTCATCTACCTGATGTGAAGACCTGTCTTCACGTGGTTCCAGGAGTGCGCACTCCTGGTTTTCCCTCTAACCCACTGGCCTTCCCTCCTCAGGTCCTTGGTCTACTCCCAGCTCAACACTGGCCTGACCTTGGAGTTAAGATACTAACTTTTCTGTCCAGTCACGGCTCTTTTACCTTGTTTGATTTTCTTCATCACACTCATCATCCTTGGAAATTACCATTTGTTTGTTAATTAAGCCCATTATTCGAATGTGAGCTCTGTGACGTCTCACTTAACTATGGAACCTTGTTTGGTCCATATATGCTCTTAATAAGCAGTTACTGAATTAATAATTAACTGACTGAATGAACGAATAGGCATTCCGATGACGACAGACAGCACTTCTTAAAGACTAGGAGAAAAAGGTTTTTTCAACATAGGAGGGCAGTGGGATTAGCATTCAAGACTCATGTATTGTGTTGTGATCCTGCTCACTGGAACTTCAAACGAACAATGGGTGACTTTTGTTCCGATGGGCCAGCGAGTGGAGGATTAGATGACCTTCTAACACAGGTTGCATTCCTCCCAATCTGAGCGCCCCGTGAACCTGGCTACTCACCTCGCGTCAGGCTCGGCGGTGGCGGCGTGCAGCGGCAGGCGCCCGTTCTTGTCCGGGATGTTGTGCTTGGCACCATTCCTGAGCAGACTCACACAGCCTTCCAGCCAACCCTGAAACGCAGCAGCGACACGAGCCTGCATAACACGGACCAACACGCTTTCTCTGGTTTTTCTTCTTCTCTAGTTTGGCTAAAAGTAGGGTTCTATTGGCACTGAAATGGTGAGGAGCCTTGGCTGTGACCTAGACTCCTCAGCACAGGGTGGAAGGTCTGGGGGTGCAGATTTCCCCCACCGTGTCCTCGGAGGAACTTCACCCCATCACAGGCAGACTGACTCCACATTCTCCTGCCTCCCTCACCCATTTCCAGGGCCACTCACTGGTATTCCCCGTTCATACTGAGACTGCACCGGCTCCTCGGGCCAAGGTGGCACCCGATTGGGCGTGATTAACCATTCTGTGGGCTTAGCTCCAAAATCATGCTTGTCAATAGTCTACCTTGAATGTCTTGATCGGTTCTAAAAATCAGGATCCTTTGTCATTTCTGGGTCTCAGGCTCTAGAGCGTGCCTCAGTTTAACTATGTCTGATAAGTAGGTCTTGGTTTTCTAGTTCAAGTTTCTTTGCTAGTAGCCACAAAAGACCAGCCTCCTGCTTATTCTAGACAGTTCCCATCCTGATGCCTTCAAGCCTGATCTGAATCCCCCTCCAATGGCTGGGACCCTGCTAGTTGGTAGACAAATCTTTCTGATGCTGACAGCCTGAACTTCTAAATATGGAGCTATCACCAGCACCCTCCAAAGATTCTCCATTGCTGTGTTTTACCCACCTACGAATTCCCTAAGAAGCTTTGTATGAACTGCTGGCTGTCTGCTAATTGTCCAGATTGGGAGCTGATATTGCCACATCCTATGCTGGTGCCCCCTTGGTCCACACGTACAACTGGGCCAGTTTCCCACCACTTCTCCCATGTTAAGAGGTCAGGCGTGATCTGTGGCTCTCTCTCCATATTACTTTAACTGACCCAAGTCTACTGATAGCTGAGTTTGTCTCACACACTGATGACAATGCCACCAAGATACACCTAGAACCTCTTGGGTTACTCACTCAGTGGTAAGCAGACTTGCAAACTCACAGAGCTATTCTTACAAAGAAGGATGGTAACTCTGTTTTGGTCATAAGCACACTCTTTGCCCTTCCCCAGTCATGTGTAGTTAAGCCCCAGGATTACCTAGTAAGAGGACTCAGATGACTAAAGATTTCCCCCTCCTGATCTTACAATATTGGGAGCAAGAATAAGCAAAATGTTAATAAATGCATGCAGAAGAAGGAAGGCAATGATGACAAGACTTTAGCTTTGAGCATTCTGGGGAAATAATCTGTCAAGGGAAGCACATCAAAATCTATAGGTTAAAACATTGAATATGCTTTGTGTAATTGACCAATAATATGAGGATACTTCCAAAAATGAGGAAAAGTGGAACTAAAACACACATAATAGTCACTTTCCATGAACTTTTTCTGAAAATCCCTCATATGCCTTGATTTCAAGATTTTTTTAACTCCCAAATAAACTGACCTTTTAATTCCATTTTCCACAAACTTTTTGAATGCCCTTGCATGAAAGTCTTAGGTAGAACACATTTTTTTTTTTTTTTTGCAATGTCAGTCTTGATTTGTAGTTCACTAATGTATTAAATCCATTTTTAGTTGCTAATGTCTGAGTCATCAAATTCCTTGATTAAAAGGAGAAAATACAACCAGGACACCCAAAGGAAAGGTACACAGGACAAATTGTAGAGTCGCCAAAGATTTACATCGCTGGGAGAGCAGATCATTTCTTGAAGGGATGTTTGAAATACTGTCCTACTTTTAGTCATTTTGCAACATTTCCTGGAACTCTGTGTGTCTATGTGGTATTTTTTTTTCTTTAGAGAAAAATATCAAAAAGCCATTGAATATAGTCACCGTCCAGAAGCTACAAATGGGTTTTGGACCTGCTAGCTGCTGCTGATTCCATGTGCATTTCTCCTCCAGTTGGGATGAACTGAGGATATTATCTTTATGACTCCTTACAGGTGAGGACAGGCACACGTGGTGAAGTGACCTGCCCCAGCTCACGCACCTATGACACATCTGTCTGTGCACTGAATTTGGAGCTGCGAGATCTCAGATTCCAAGTATCCCTTTTGCCAAGTTTCTGTTTAACACTTGAAGTCACAGATTGCCAGGAGGGAGTGGGGGGCTTTACAGTACAATTCTCTAGCATCCTCCTTGCCAAGGAGCCTCAGGGGGGCTGGGAGGGGACCCGCCTTAGGGAGCCACGTAGACGTGGGAACATGGTGATGAAGCTGGCACCCTGTGGTGTCCCGCAGGCTCCTCCTCTCGCACAGAGCCTTGGAACACATTCCCAGTGGGTTGTTCCCAAAGTGTCACTTCCCTAGGCTCCAAGGGTGTCCATCCTAAGTCCCTGTGGCCTACAGAGGAATGCTTCTCCCCAGTGCCTTGCATAGCTGCCCTGTGTGAGAAATCTTAAATGATGAGTTTTAGGATTCTGAAGCCAGCACAGGGACAGTCAACTTTAGAAACTACTCCTTCCCTCTTTTCCACCCCTTGATCCAAATATTCTCTTTTCCTTAGCTCAGATACCAAAGGAGTCCCTGGCAAGAATAGTCACTGAGGGGCTGGCATCCCATATGGGTGCTGGTTCAAGTCCTAGCTGTTCCACTTCTGATCCAGCTCTTTGCTATGGCCTGGGAAAGCCATGGAAGAAGACCTTGGGCCCCTGCACCCGCATGGGAGACCCGCAAAAAGCTTCTGGCTTCTGGCTTCAGATCAGCTCAGCTCTGGCCATTGTGGTCATTTGAGGAGTGAACCAGTGGATGGAAGACCTCTCTCTCTCTCTCTCTCTGTCTCTACCTCTCTCTGTAACTCTGCCTTTCAAATAAATAAAAGAAATCTTAAAAGAAAAAAAAGAGTGGCAAATAAAACAATAAAAAAAAGAAAAAAAAGAAAAAAAAGAGTGGTCCCTGGGGCATGTGCTAGAAAGGAGGGGTTGAGAGATCGGTCCCATGTCTATCTGAGATACGTGGCCTCAGCTAGAATGAACAGACCAGTGATTTTCAATCTCCAGGGCACATGAAGATTGCCAGGGAGGTTTTCAAAATCTTCATACCACACGACGACCACCAGCACTACCCAGTCCTCCTGGACTATCTGACTCAGGAGGCCGAGAGTGTACCCCAAAACCTGTATTTGAAACAAACACTCTTAGGGATGTTGACACAAAAGATCTGTGGACCACCCTTTGAAAAAGTCTTACTCAATATTGGTGTCTAAGTCCTAGAGAAAAAGGGCACGCAGATAATAGACAGAACGGTATGGGGAGCGTATGAAGGGCCTACGTCTCATTGCGGAGTGCTGGCTCTGCTGCCGATTCCAGCTTTTTCTAACGTGCACCATGGAAGGCAGCAGGGATGGCTCAAGTACCTGGGTGCTTACCACCCACGTGGGAGACCTGAATTGCATTCTGGGCTCTCAGTTTTGGTTTGGCCCAGCCCTGGCTATTGCTGGCATGTTGTGGGAGGGAGCCAGTAGATGAAAGCGCGCGCGCTCTCTCTCTAATTGCTCTTTCAAATGAAAATGAAGATAAATAAAAAAAGAAAAAGTGAAAAAAGCATGTTCGAGAGAGACTCTGTGGGAGCTGGACAATGCCTTGTGCAGTCCACGCTAGGCCACGGCCAGAAAGGGTGGTTTTGGGGAAGACAAGTGCTTCCCTCCAGCAGGGCCCTTTCTGAGGGGGTGGTCCAGGGTGAGTCCACCCTGCCAAAGGTCAGTGAGAACAAAGGCAAGGAGTAGCAAATGCAAGGAGCTGCATTGGCCGCAGTGGTGGTCATGGGGACAATTGCTGGGTGCCTTGTTGTCAGGAAAGAATCCTAAGTCTCGTGTTATGGTTAAGATGTATTTGCCATGGACTCAAGGCAGCCCTGGGGTCTCCTAGAACCACCACAGGGAGGATTTGAGAAGAGGATTTTCAACAAGGGTGAAGCAAGTGAACTGTCAAGCTGGACGATGCTGAGCTGAGATCTGTCATGGCAAGGACCGGCACGACACAGCTTTAAAACTGAGCGCTCGCTGTGAGCTGAGTCCTATGCTAGGTGTTGTCCCTTGGGCACCATCCACTCCCACCACCCCCTACTCTTCCCAGGCCCTATCCTTCCTTCCCACATTCTTCAACTTCAACTAATTCTTCACCCACCTAATTCTACCCCACAGTTGTCAACTGGATCGTACAAGCATGACCACTCTCTCAGAGTTATCTGTGGAGGGCATTCTTAGAGGTAGTAGCAAGGGTATCTGGAAATGTCCCCAGGGACATTCTGATGGTGTTAAGATAGAAAAGAATGTTTCTCTAGTGGCAATATCAGCTTGATCTCAGAGGATTGTTAGGAAGATCCCAAATGACTTAAAGCCATGAAACCAACTGTACGTGGCGATGGAAATGTTAAAGATGATTGGAAAAATCTTTCGATCCTATTTCCACTGGCCAGCTGCAATGACCCCAAGACCACCCTTCTGCAGGTGGGACCCCATAACGACACCTTTAGCACAACCTGCTCCTTAGCCCCTTGACAGACACTAGTCGGTACCAGGTATGTTGCGAGACATAAGCTTGTGCGGCCGTAAGCGTCCTGCGTGTTAATGTTGGCTCCCATCTTCAAGAGCAGCTTCACTGTGTCCACCTGACGTCCAGAAACCGCGTGCATCAAGGGCGTGCATCCTGGAATGAGACATCAACAGCCTTTGAAAGATGTTTCTCTTAGGAACTTTGCGAGCCAACTTTATCTGCCTCTTCATTGGCTCTGCCCTCTGGAACACAAACCCAGCTGGGGAACTGCAAGGGACTAGGGAGAGCAGATGATAATTTCTATACTTAGCTCAATGATGTGATTTTTTTTTCCTGGCCTTTGTCCAATCTTCTGTAATTTTTGCAATAATTGGTTGTTAAAACTTTCTGGGCAGATGACAAAATTTGCTTATTACTGCCTTGGGGACCAGCACAATTTGGGACAGAATAGGCAGCTTTGTCTTGCCTTGGCTTGAACAATGCAGAATCTGGAATTGTCTTTGGAAAGTAACCGCAGCAGGAGGACAGGTCCAACACATTTCTAGCAGAGGTTGTGGCTGGTGGAGGGCAGTGACGGTAGCCTAGCCTTCAAGTGCACAATTCTTGCCTCAAGGAGCAGCCTGTACTGAAATACTTTTCTGTTTTTTGAAATAAATATAGAACAAGCCATTTGTTTATTTTTTTAAAATTTTTTTGACAGGCAGAGTTAGACAGTGAGAGAGAGACAGAGACAGAGAAAGGTCTTCCTTTTTCCATTGGTTCACCCCACAAAGTGGCCGCTATGGCCAGCGTGTTGCCGCTGGTGCACTGCGCCGATCCGCAGCCAGGAGCCAGGTGCTTCCTTCTGGTCTCCCATGTGGGTGCAGGGCCCAAGGACCTGGGCCATCCTCCACTGCCCTCCTGGGCCACAGCCAGGACAGAACCGGCGCCCCAACTGGGACTAGAACCTGGGGTGCCGGCGCTGCAGGCGAAGGATTAGCCTAGTGAGCCGTGGCACCAGCCCCATTTGTTTCTTTTAAATGTGTTTGCTTCCTGGAAAAAAAAAATCGAGATGACCCAATCTGATGAATGTGGCAGGGCTGTTGTGACAAGTGTCTTGTGAAGCACAATCCAAGGGCTTCACACTCCCAGCCTTGGCTCCTCGCCCCGCCGAGACTTGTTTAGGCATCTTGATGAGAGAGTCACGTGGTTCTTTTCCACATGGACTCCAAGCTAGGAGCCTCAGAGGTCCCCAAGGATGGGCAAGTGCCAGGACTGCTGTTGTCACTGAAAGACAGCCGCTGGAATCTTCAACTGTTTCCCACGTCTCTCCCTTGCAATACGCCTTCAGGTGTCTCTCCCTTGCAATACTCCTTCAGGTGTCTGCACTAAAGCTGCCATGAAGTGTCATATCTGAAAATAGTGGACAATTGGCCTCCCTCCCTCCCTTCCTCCTTCCTTCACTCCTTCCTTCCTTCCATCATCCTCCTAACTATTGGGATATAGTACAAGCTGCAAAAGGCAATTATTGAAGCAATCTGTGAATCTGAAATGTTCAGTAAATAAAGCTAAAGAACTTCTAGCTATGATTTTCATAAAAGTGCATGCTAATTTATGTTCATCTTCAGATCCTAGGGAGAGGTAACATACTCCAGATAGATCAGAGACCAACTATGAAAAGAAAAATTTAAAAATTTTCAAAAGAAAATAGAGAAAAATATTGTGATAACTTTAAGGTTGGTCAATCCTTACTGAAAAAGGCATAAAAACTGTAAACTATGAAAAAAATTTTATTAAAGTATACTGAAATTAAAATTGATGTACTATACATACACTACCATAAAAAAATGAAAAGGTCAGCCACAGACTGAAAGACATTATTTAATCCATTAAACTAAGAAAAGATTATTGGTTAAACTAAAGAACAATTCAACAACTCGACCAGAAAGAAATAAACAGCCTAAGAGAAAAAATGGACATACATGTGTATAAGAAATTAAAAAAAAAAGAGAGAAAATACAAACTGGTAAACATATAAAAGCTCATCTCAGAAATGATCAGGGAGTGATTATGTAGCATGATATTGAAAATTTGACATTAGAAACCAGTTTGTAAATATTGGATTAGTAATTGGAAGACGTCTGAAAGGCCATGTTTTGTCAAGGATTTGGGAAGCTACTAGATACTGTTGGTTGAATTGTAAACTAAGACAACCATCTTGGAGATGAATTTGGTAACATTTAATACAATCAAAGCTGCTCATAACTTATGGCTCAGGAATCTGACTTCTAACTATATTTCACGAGAGAACGTTCATATTGAGGAACAAAAGGAAATAATTAAGGATGACCAATAAAGAGAAATGGCATTAACACTAATAGAGAAATGCATAAGTTATTATTCATAAAGGAATACCACAGAACAGTTAAAACATACAAGCTAAATTAATCTGAATCAATTCACTTGAATAAATCTTAAAAACATTAAGAAAACAAATTGAAAAAAGATACAATATATATAAAATTTTGCAAATCAAAATAGTAGAACAAAAGTGTTGTCAATTCATGTAAATATAGTTAAACCAGAAACACAGGAAAAGAAAAGATACACAACAGCGGCTGACACTGTGGCATAGCAGGTAAAGCCGCCTCTTGCATTGCCGGCATAACATATACGTCCCGGCTGCTCCACTTCAGATCCCGCTCCCCGTTAATGCACCTGGGAAAGCAGGGGCAGATGGCCCAAGTGCTTGGGCCCCTGCACCCATGTGGGAGACCCAGAAGAAGCTCCTGATTTCAGGCTTTAGCCTGGCTTAGCACTGGTCATTGTGGCCATCTAGGGAGTGAACCAATGGAAGGAAGATTTCTGTCTCTCTTTCCATCTCTCCCTCTCTGTAACTCTGCCTTTCAAATAAAATAAATCTTAAAAATAAAAAAAGGAATGATATACATCAACTTCAGAATCCTTTTAGAGGAGTGAAGGGGGAAGAATAAGAAAGGCCTTCAACTATTCCTTATTCTTATTTCTTAAAAAAAAATCCAAAGAAAAAATTGTCAACAATAAAGCTTATAACTATAAATTATATTTATAAAATTAGAAATTCTAGATGATATGTTATTCTCTGCACTTGACCATAGATTTGTAATATTTTACATTTGAAATAAAATACACAAAGGATGGAGCAACTGGGTCAGGTGTGCTGTGCATGAAGATAGCCTTAGCATCTGGCACCTGTAAGTGCTCCTGGGTTCAAGACCTCTCCATTATGAGATAAGGAACAGAAAGAGCACAGGCTGAAGAAAGAACACAGTGGGATTGAATTCCAGCTATCTTATTAGCTCTGGGATTTTGAGACTCATTGCCTTGTCCTGGGTAGTTGCAAGGCAGTTATGATATGGTTATGCAATTCCAAAAGCAACATGAATTGCTAATATTTATTGAGTGCTTGTTACGTGCCAGGCATAACTCTAAGCACTCAAGTTGGATTAACACATCTAATTCTCATCAAAAAGAAAAAAAATAAACCCAAATCCTGTGAGTTACTCTATCCTCATTTTATAGATGAGGAAACTGAGACCAGTAAGGCATTGGTGCTTGTTCTGTTAATAATGAGGGTGAATTAGCATCATTGAACTGTCTAAGGAGCATTGACTCTGAAAACAGTCTGTCTTTGTGGGATATAGGATTTGCAAATATTTTCTTCCACTCTGGAGCTTGTCTTGGGGTCCTCTCCATAGAGGGGCAAATGTTTTTAATTTTTGACGAGTCTGTATTTATCAATTTTTCCTTTTATGGACTGTGCTTTTTGTGTTAAGTCTAAGAAGAATTTACTTAGCCCCACATCCTTAAGATTTTCTTATATGCTTTTTTTCCTAAAAATTTAATGTTTTCACATTTTACATTTAAGTCCATGGTCCATATTGAGTTAATTTTTGTAAAATGTGTTAGTGTGCCTCCTTTGTTCACTCTTCTCCCTCTTAATTTCCCCCTTCCTCCCTCCCATCCTCCCCTTCCTTCCTTCTCTCCTTCTTCTTTTCTGAATTACTCCAGCAACAGATCTTCCATCTGCTGGTTCACTTCCCAAATGGCCACAATGGCTGGAGCTGGGCCAATCTGAAGCCAGCAGCCAGGAGCTTTTTCCAGGTCTCCCACATGGGTGCAGGGGCCCAAGGACTTGGCCCACCTTTTATTGCTTTCCCAGGCCATAGCAGAGAACTGGATCAGAAGAGGAGCAGCCAGAATATGAATTGGTGCCCATATGGGATGCCAGCACCGCAGGTGGAGGCTTAGGCTACTGTGCCACAGTGCTAGCTTGACACAGCTGCACAGTCTTGATTTATGTAGCTATATAATAAGTCTTGAAATTGAGTACACTAATTTCTCTACTTTATTCTTTTTCAAAATTGTTTAAGCCATCATAGTTCTTTGCATTTCTATTTTAGATAATCTTATCAATATCTATAAAAAGTGTGGGGGTTTGGACAAATATTATAGTCTCTATCCTATACTAAACTGTCTTTTTAGAAGTTGCATTGTATCTGTAAACAAATTTGGAGAACATTGCATATTGGTTATAATGTTTCCTAATCCATGAACATGGTATGTCTATTTATTTAAATCTTCTTTGATTTATTTCAACAGAATTTTACAGTTTTCAGAATATAAAGTTTTGCACATATTTTATTTTTTAAATATTTATTTATTTATTTATTTACTTGAAAGTCAGAGTTACACACAGAGAGAAGGAGAGGCAGAGAGAGAGAGAGAGAGAAAAGTCTTCTATCCGCTGGTTCACACACCAATTGGCTGCAATGGCTGGAGCTGTGCCAATCCTCTGGGTCTTCCCATGTGGGTGCAGGGGCCCAAGGGCTTGGGCCATACTCTACTGCTTTTCCAGGCCATAGCAGAGAGCTGGATCAGAAGTGGAGCAGCCAGGACCTGAACCTGTGCCCATGTGGGATGCTGACTCTACAGGTAGCAGCTTTACCTGTTATGCCACAGTGCCAGACCTCACATATTTTATTTATACTGAAGTATTTCTTTTTTTATTGATTTTTAAAACGCATTTTATAATAAATTTTTGGTGTCCATGTGTTCATTGTAGATAGAGAATACAATTTATGTTTGTGTATTAATTTTGTATCCTGTGACCTTGCTGAACTTATTTATTAGTT